AAAGGAACAGTCTAAGTACCATAACCACTACCGTTCAGTTAGTGGTTATGGTGCGATGAGACTATGGGTGCTGAGCGCTAAATTTTAAACTCTTAACCAATCAATTCCTTTCAAATACGGACAAATATTATACAGTGCCCTACACTAAGATTGGCATCCTGGTAAATATGAACCAAGAAGGCTGCGGAAAATTGTCCTCATTGTTTAACCTTTTGATTTTTTGTTCAACAATTACACAAAAATACTCTGCTCTCTTGGACAAACAGTTGCAAACACAATACAGGTTTATAAAAAACTAAAATTGTTGTTGCATATTGGAACTGTCAAACAATTCAAAAGTATTTGATTACTTAACGTAGGATAGCGCTAAGGGACTGCTTAGAAGCAATAAAACTACTACTGCGTGCTGTATGGAGTCCCCTGGCAACGTACCATTGTTCCGTATAAAACCATATTTGAATAGTTTAGCACTGAATTCAGGATTCCAGCTCTGAAGGTATTGCTAGGGTGGAGGGTAACAGCGATGACTGTGACTGATAGGCCCCAAGCATTTAGCTGACTCTCTCAACCTATGAATGCCACCCATCACTGCTTGGGCTAAGTGGAAGCAGGGTGCTAGCAGTAGGAAACCTCAATGAGTATTAAACTGGTCAAAAACTACCTACTACCTACCTACTATATAATTATTATTATGTTTTTGGGGGGAGAGGGGCAATGGAGTGTTCCGCTAATACTCTAAACTGAGACGACACCCAGGAACTCCACGAAACACTTCAATAAACTGAAAAATGTGCCTTTCACAATACATATTTTAAACCAATTCTTACTTTTTTTTCTACAAGAAAAATGAAATGTTGTAAGCCTTTAATCAATCTCATGCTACACTTTTTTTTTTAATTTTTTTTTAGAAATGTAAGATTAAATCCAACCAAAGTGAATCAGAAAATCGCCAGGTCACCTGTTTCCCTTTTTTTTTCTTTTTTTTACATCGCTGGCTGTCAGCTTCAAGCACAGAATAAGAAACAAATTGCTTGTCTTTGCCAGAACCTTGGACAGCTAACCTTGCAGATAATACTGCACAAGCATCCAGTATCACTCATGCAAATGTGGATTCCTTTCACCTGGGCCTTCAGCAGCAGATGGATGGGTGAATAGTGATACTCCAGTCTCTAGCACTCCAACAGTTAACATAAAACAGTGTGTGCTATGTTTTGGCACTCCAACAGTTAATATTGTACACTCTGGATTCTGGCACTTAAACAGTTAGCATAAAATAACACACACTGGGCTATGGCACTGCGACGGTACATAAACAAGCATATTCTAATCTTTGGCGCTACAATAGTTAATATAAATAACACACACTAGGCTCTGACACTCACATTTAAAGGGTTATTCAGGAAAGTGTGAATTCAAAAAGCAAGGAGGGAGCCGGCAGTGCTACCTGCTCCCTCCTTGCAATAAATAATATTAATTCCTACCCCCCCCCCCATCCTGCATTAAAACCTATGGGGGTCACTATGACCCCCATATTAATAAAACTGAGGTTAAATCCTCCTGCATGCCGCGAGTAGGGACATGTTGCCTAAACAGTGGCTGCTTGCTGTCATTTAAAACTACTAGTGACTGGGCTATTGCTGCCCAGTCGCTAGTGCCCAAATTTGGGGGGTAGGTAGGGTTTAATTTTATTGGGGAGGAGGGTGACTAAGGGTTTGAGGACCCCTAGTCACTTGTGGGGTGGGGGGTATTTTTCAAATTTAGCCCTCACCCGCCGCTCATGGGTGGGGGCTGGGGGGGAGACAATAGGTCCTCCCCATATTGTCATCTAGGGCCCCCACCCGCCGCTCATGGGTGGGGGCCGTGGGAGGAGGACAATAGGTCCCCCTTATTATCTGTTAGGGTCCCCACCCATGAGGGAGACAATAGGTCCCCCCCATTGATACTTAGGGCCCCCACCCGCCACTCAACTTTCTGTTAGGGTCCCCACCCACCACTCATGAGTGGGACATGGGGGGGACATTAGGTCCCCCTATTAATTAATTAGGCTCCCCATCTCATGGGTGGGGACCAGGGAGGATATACGGTCCCCCCTATTATTTTTTTTATTTTTGGTCCCCACCTGCAGACCATGGGTGAGAGTGCGGGGGACACTATGCCCCCCCCATTTTTGTTATTTGGGTTCCCCACCATGGGGGAATGGCACTAGGGACTGGGCAGCAATAGCTGCCCAGTCACTAGTAGTTTTAAATGACAGCGAGCAGCCACTGGCTTTTTAGGCGACATGCCCCTACTCGCGACATGCCGTGAGTCGGGGCATGCATGAGGATTTAACCTCCCTTTTATTAATATGTTTTAATGCGCTGCCGGCTCCCTCCTTGCTTTTTTTTTTTGCACATGCGCAGTGGTCCAAAAACGAATTATTTTTTACAGAATTTCGTCCGAAACGAAAATTTCACTGGTGCACATCTACCAAATACAGGATCAACATGCTTGCTTTGAGGCAGGGTGTGCTTGTCATTGGAGATGACAACACATCCCCCTCTCTGGACCCACCCCATCTCACTGGTCGGCTGTAATAAAAAAAGGTTTTTTTTCCCAGTCCGGCCCCCTAGCCCTTGTGTGTGTGCTGTAAAAATAATAAAAACAAGCTTTTTACTTACCTTTTCATCTCTTTTCCTCCTGCAATCTCACAAAGTAGGTATAGCCTCCTCTTGCATGATCCAATCCAATGTTCCTCATAGAGCTGAGTTTTACTCAGTCAGTGCTGCCGCTAGAGGAGGACTTAGGCCTGCAATGTAAATATAGTAGTTTCTAAAAAAGTGCAATGTTTTACATCGCAGGGATAAAAAGACAGGGACGCCGAGCCCAGACCAGTCCAATAATATGAAGTGGTCTTGGTGACTTTAGTGGTCTTTAAACTCATTCCATGTGTCTTTCATTTAAGTTCCCGTCCCCTTTTACGCAGAACGATTCTGCTCCATAAGAAACAATATATGTGAAAGGCGTTCTCTGTCTAATAGTAGCAGCAGTACATCTCCAAGGAGTTCCCACAGCCTTGTGACAAATAAACAAAGAAACAAAGAAACACAATAGGTGGTGAACCGCGCTTAAGATTCTATTCCATATCTGAGGTCATCACCCAGTAGAGGTGATAAGTAAATCCATTTTTTTAAAGCTAGTCCTACATGTAGATGGTATCCTATGAAAGATTTCCTGTTTACCTTGTTGCCAGATATTTATAGCCTACACAGATATGACTATGCATGATTCATAAGTTGATTTTAAGCGTGTGGCAAGAAGAAGAATTTGGGAGAGAGATGCTCTTTCTTTCTGTAAGATGCCTGCAGGTACTTATAAATAAGACAAATCCTAACTTGGTTTCATCACAGTCCCTGCGCCTCGCTGGGCTGCCAACTTTGCTAAAATGTGCACGAACACAGAGCCAAGGCCGAAGAACATGCAGAGTAACTGGACTAATGCCAGCACTAAATTAAGCCCAGGATAAAAGTGGAAATGGAGACTGGAGTTGTCAGACTCTTCAAGGTCATACTGTAAGACCCCAAGGTCGTTTGTAGAAGCTTCCAATAACTACTTTGGGTCAATGTCTGTTTACACTGTGTGTACCTGCGTGACTCTATTTATATTTATTCAAAAGATAGCTGTGTTTGCACAATGTTTAGTAAAATATGCGTCCAGTTATCTAACAGCACTTTCAAATGTCTCTCTATGGTGGATATTTATCAAGGCATCGAGACCTGAAATTTGAATTCACTCAGAGTTCTCATGTTAGTGAATAACCCTGATGGGTCTGTCTTTCTGTACATCTGTTCACCCGTCAATCCACCCACCCAACTATCCATCCATCTACCTATCCACCTTGGGTACGTTTAGAAAGATCACTGAGTGGCTTTCTACAATGATCTGTCTTGGACCTAACTCAACATGAGGAGGTTCTTCAAATGTGGAATTTAAGGCAATGCTGGGTCAATTTGAACAGCTGTAGGAGAATAGTTTCAGAAAAAAAACAGAACAGTGGAAACCCCCAAATTATTAGAAAGGGGCCCCTTTATTCGCAGTAAGACTTTAGATGTCATGGATACTGTAGATTAAATGTCATTCAAGGACAAGGTTGTCCCTGCTCCACTGTGATATTTGAGAGGATTTGGCAGTCAGAATGATCAGAATTCTTGGAGACTTAGAGAAATATCTGCATTGCGAGGGTTTTAGTTTAAGACGTGTCTGGAAACAGAAGAAGGTGAGTGTAAAAAAAGGCAGAATCTCATTAAAAAAAAACAGCACATAGCTTCCATTAAAAATCATCAGCTTACTGATACAATCAAGCAAAACAAACTACAAAGGCAACTCCAGATGTGTAAAATGAAACAAAACAATATTCTTGAAGCTCTTAACAAACTAGTAACTATAAAATCCTATTTTTTCTCGACATGTTCTCCCAGGGCCGGTTTCAGTGTACAAATCCCTCAAAGGAATCTTTATCTGTATTCTTCTTGCATTATTCAACTGTTTACACCAGGAATGTCTAACAGGTGGATACTGTTGCAGAAGTATATTTCCCACAATGCATTGCTAGCTACTCTTAAAGCGGAACTAACACTTCCAATGAATTTTGATATTGTGTTTTCTTATGCAATATATTTAACACATATAAGTTTGTGAGGTCTGAAAAATAAAATGTTATGTAGAAGTTCACACTGCTGTATTTTACTCTAACCTGGAGTTGAGTTCCTTCATCTTAAATGGACACTATAGTCACCTGAACAACTTTAGCTTAATGAAGCAGTTTTGGTGTATAGAACATGCCCCTGCAGCCTCACTGCTCAATCCTCTGCCATTTAGGAGTTAAATCCCTTTGTTTATGAACCCTAGTCACACCTCCCTGCATGTGACTTGCACAGCCTTCCATAAACACTTCCTGTAAAGAGAGCCCTATTTAGGCTTTCTTTATTGCAAGTTCTGTTTAATTAAGATTTTCTTATCCCCTGCTATGTTAATAGCTTGCTAGACCCTGCAAGAGCCTCCTGTATGTGATTAAAGTTCAATTTAGAGATTGAGATACAATTATTTAAGGTAAATTACATCTGTTTGAAAGTGAAACCAGTTTTTTTTTTTTTCATGCAGGCTCTGTCAATCATAGCCAGGGGAGGTGTGGCTAGGGCTGCATAAACAGAAACAAAGTGATTTAACTCCTAAATGGCAGTGAATTGAGCAGTGAAATTGCAGGGGAATGATCTATACACTAAAACTCCTTTATTTAGCTAAAGTAATTTAGGTGACTATAGTGTTCCTTTAATGTATTGTTTTAAGCTCCACCCTTTTCAGTTACGGAATATAGTATATCAAGGAGGAGGAGTTACAATGTTTCTGCGTCTCCTCAGCCAATACAACATGTGCCATTGTTGTGCCAGGACAAAACTGGATGGTGATGTAATTTGCTAAATATTTAAAGGGGCACTATAGTCACCAAAACAACTTTAGCTTAATTAAGCAGTTTTAGTGTATAGACCATGATCCCACAGTCTCCCTGATCAATTCTCTGCAATTTAGCACTCCACCCCTGGCTGTGACTTACACACCATGCATGAAAAAAAAATGGTTTCACTTTCAATTTGATGTAACTTACTTTAAAAGTTCTTATTGCCTGCTCTCTAAACTGAACTTTAATCATACACAGGAGGCTTCTGTGGGGTATAGCAAGCTATCAACAGTGCAGGGGATAATACATTTTAACTTTAATAGAATTTGAAAAGAAGGAAGTATAAACATTAGCTGACTCTTTACAGGAAGTATTTAGGAAGGCTGTGCAAGTCACATGCAGAGAGGTGTGACAAAGGTGCATAAACAAAGTGATTTAACTCCTAAACGGCAGAGAATTGAGCAGTGACATTGCAGGGAAATGATCTATACACCAAAGCTGCTTCAATAAGCTAAAGTTGTTTTGGTGACTATAGTGTGCCTTTAATGTACGTTCAAAAGAAAATATAGCATCTCGTAAAAGAAAAGGTTAGCACAAGTTATCAGTGAGTTTTCAATGTTCTATTTTATGGTGTAATTTTCAGAAAAGGGATGGTTTCTCTTTAGCCTAACCTTTACAAAAAATACAAAATATATACTGTCTCAGAGCTAGACTAGGTTTGTGTGAGATTCTTTTTCTCTAACAATCAGAAATAGTTTATGTTTTTTTTCTTTTTTTAATGATGCTTGGAATCATTAAATTCTCCCTCGGGGAGTTAAGTTATTCGGGAATATTTTTGCATTGCAGAATATCTTTCCTTACAGACTTTTAGCTTTTAAAGAAGACAGCAAAGCCGGGAGATTTCCTCAGAAGAGGGTTGTAATAGTTGGATGAAATCTGTCATAAAACGTGCCCGTGAGAGATGCAAATGAGCATGTGTATATTATTAAGGAACGCAATCCTGCTCATAGGCTCCAAAACTCGCTATTTTACTGTAAGTTCACTAAAGCGCGTCATGAGTCGGTGCCAGCGAAGAATTTCCAGCTCATTAGTAAGCCTCCACTGACAGCATCGCTTCAGCAGGAGTATCGGAGATAGGGGTATTTAGGCAGATAAAAAGAATGCAAATAGCAAACGCGGGAAAATAAGTGTGGGAGAGAAAAAACTCCTTTAAAGTGACACTGTATCATAATTGGCCTTTGCGAACTATTCAATGCATTCACTTACTATCTACAGTCTAGCGTAGGGGAAAAATTAACTTCCTGCTCGGGAATTAGAGGGAAGAAAATAGAGAGAGATGGACAGAGATATGATGCATAACAGTGAGCTTTATATAATGGAAAAAAAATAGCTATAGCATCTATATGGCACCAACATATTCAGCCGTGCTGAACAACTGAGGGAAAACAGACATACAGTATAGATGTACTGGACCAGTAGAAACACAGAGCCCTGAAACATAGAGCTTATAATGTTATAAATGTTTACGGTGATGACTTTTGAGCTCACAATCTAAAAGTAATGATGGGGACGTGAAACAAGATTTTGCAGGGGGTGTTTGAAGTCAATGGCCAGAGATCTGGGGACAAATTCAAGTACAGTTAAGTCAGTTTGGTAGTTAGAATAGAATAGTAGAGAAAAGAAGGATGATTATTATAAAGGCAGATGGGGTAAATGTGGGTAAGGAGAGACGGATGGGTGGGACGTTCGTTTCACAATTTTGCGGGATGGTAGTTTAAGGAAATCGGAGAGCAGAGGTGAGTTTGGAGAAGGAAATAAATATTAACGAGGAACAAAATATATTTTCTAGAGAATTAGCGAAGATCCATTAAATGATGCCTTTGATGTGTTCTGGTTACATTATAAAGTATTAGAACGGCGGTCAACTACTTTATGGTTTCCTCGAAAACCCCAACAGAACTTTATGTTTCAACAGCGCCCTCTTTCCCATCGTGTTTTTCTTATTTTTATTTTACATGATTTTAAGAAAAAATATAGAAAATTATTTTCATCTATTCATCTATTATCTTTTTATGGAGATTGTGTCATGTTCGCAGATACAACGTGAAACACGTTTTGTGGCAGGTCTTTTGTTAGTGGTTTCTGTCATTTGACTTGTGCTTTACATGTTACTTAGTTAGGTAGAGTTTAATCACTTACAAAGTCCACAAAAGAAGTCGGTTAAAAGGCCTGTCTTAGCCTCTCCCTGACCTATCAAAAACACTTTGAACTGCATTTTTTATGTCTCCTCTGTCTGCCTGAAGTATTATAAATCAGTCGATACACAGCGATGCCGCTCGACTGGGAAAACAAGACAGAAAACCATCATTTCAGATCTTTCAAGAAAAAATTGAAAAGTGTTTTGAGCAGACTCTTCATCCTTAATAACTCTAATATACAAGGTCAAGGCTTATCGCTTTTGTTATTTTTTTTTATTTTTTTTTTACTGAACTGGCAAAGCGTTTGCACCATAACCACTACAATGAGTTTTATGATGCTTAGAGCACCCTTTAAGTCAAATATAAAGTAAAGTATATGGAAATATTTATGTGAGACAAAATTAAAGACAGATTCAGCATATTTTTCATTTTGTCATTATGTTTTATATACTTTTTGTATCATATTATTGATATAAATAATAACATAAAATAATAATAATAATAATAATAACACAGATTAACACAACCAGATTTAAATACCCAGTACCCTGGATTTTGATTTGGGTGGACTCTGATCTGTCGTTAGGTTAAGGATTCTATTAGTAATATTTTTGTAAGCGCAATTCTTAATTTGTATCCACTGTGCCAACCTGTATTTATATCCCTATGGGCTACTTTTAGAAGGGTTGGGAAGTACCGGAATTTGTTAATATAAGAGGTTGATCGTACACACTAGGAAATGCTAATTTTAAGGGTACTTGATGAATAAAAGGTTCATTAGAGATACTTAACTAGAAATTTAAATGGCTAATGGTACTTCAGAATTTTTTTTATCAATTGCGATGCAATAACTTGTGAGCTGTCTGCTTCTCATTACGGGATACGAGGTAAGAACAAACAAAAGGAGAAATCCGCACTCTTATCTGGTCCTGGTCTACCCAGCAAAAACAAAAACTAAATCTGCACTATAAATAAAATGTAGAGACTCGTAGAATAGTACTGTGTGAGTACCAAAAATATCATAGATTAAAAAAACACATTGATAGTACGCACATCAGATAAAACTCAGTAGGAGGCTGTCTTACTTCTCGGTAGTATTTCCGTATAGAGGGAAAAAGAAAAACACTAGAAGCGAAGAGCAGTTAATATCTGACACAATTTAATTTATAATATGCACTTAAAGGACCACTAAAGTGCCAGGAAAACATACTTGTTTTCCTGGCACTATAGTACCCTGAGGGTGGCCCCACCCTCAAGGACCCCCTCCTGCCCGGCTCTGGAAGGGGGAAAGGGGTAAAAATTTACCTTTTTCCAGCGCTGGGCGGGGAGCTCTCCTCCTCCTCTCCTCCTCCGTTACGCCCCGTCGGCTGAATGCACACGCGCGGCAGGAGCTGCACGCGCATTCAGCCGGTCGCATAGGAAAGCATTTACAATGCTTTCCTATGGACGCTTGCGTGCTCTCACTGTGATTTTCACAGTGAGAAGCACGCAAGCGCCTCTAGTGGCTGTCAATGAGACAGCCGATAGAGGCTTTGGGGGAAGGCTTAACCCATTAATAAACATAGCAGTTTCTCTGAAACTGCTATGTTTATGAAAAAATGGGTTAACCCTAGCTGGACCTGGCACCCAGACCACTTCATTAAGCTGAAGTGGTCTGGGTGCCTAGAGTGGTCCTTTAAAAGATTAGGATATATATTAGCATCTAGACAAGATATAAGCATCCCGAATCAGATATAAGCATCTAGACCAGATATAAGCATCCAGAATCAGATGTGAGCATCCAGAATCAAAGGTGGGCATCCAGAATCAGATATAAGCATCCAGAATCAGATGTAGATGTGGGCATCCAGAATTAGATGTGGGCAACCAGAATCAAATATAAGCATCCAGAACTTAAATGTGAGCCTCCAGAATCAGATGAGAGCTTTCAGAATCAGATCTAAGCCTCCAGAATCAGATGAGAGCTTTCAGAATCAGATCTAAGCCTACAGAATCAGATGAGAGCTTTCAGAATCAGATCTAAGTCTCCAGAATCAGATGAGAGCTTTCAGAATCAGATCTAAGCCTCCAGAATCAGATGAGAGCTTTCAGAATCAGATCTAAGTCTCCAGAATCAGAGGAGAGCTTTCAGAATCAGATCTAAGCCTCCAGAATCAGATGAGAGCTTTCAGAATCAGATCTAAGCCTCCAAAATCAGATGAGAGCTTTCAGAATCAGATCTAAGCCTCCAGAATCAGATGAGAGCTTTCAGAATCAGATCTAAGCCTCCAGAATCAGATGAGAGCTTTCAGAATCAGATCTAAGCCTCCAGAATCAGAGGAGAGCTTTCAGAATCAGATCTAAGTCTCCAGAATCAGAGGAGAGCTTTCAGAATCAGATCTAAGTCTCCAGAATCAGATGAGAGCTTTCAGAATCAGATCTAAGCCTCCAGAATCAGATGAGAGCTTTCAGAATCAGATCTAAGCCTCCAGAATCAGATGTTGACATCCAGCATAATATGCCAACATCCATGTAATCAGGTGCCCAACCTGGGAGTTTGGATAATTAATACATAATAAACTTGGAGATTTGTTTCTGTCTGAACAGCAATACGGCT